CCAACCAAATAAGTTCTATATAATTTCTTATAAAGAAATGTCCCATCATGAGCTGGACTTAAGCCATGTATTCTAATGAAATTTTGGGGGTTTCTTTCTTGACTGGGTTATATTTGTTCTGCTTTATCACAGGCATCACAAATGCAAATGACTGCTGAAACTAATATAGCAAAAAGACTATGTGACTGTGCCTGGGAGAATGAACTAAGATCTGATAGGTCCTGCAGGGAGCAGAATGTGTACTCCTACTCTTTAGAAAACAGCATCTGCTGCTGCCAGGTGTCTCTATTTGGACCCTGGGCTACCATTTTGAAACTCTGCTTGAATTCAAAGCTTCTGTAGGATTGATCCTGTGGCACATATAAGTTTTATAGGATTTTACAAATGAGTTACAGACTATTCTGTTTCTCCAAAATTTTGCTAATTGATGAAAATTAGAATAGATGAGACATTCAGGTCTAATTGTAACCTTCAAGAACATGTTCATAATACAGAAAAATAGTCACAAAGAGAAAATGTTTACCTACAGGTCTGCTTAACAGCCACCAACATCCTCATTTGTAGCTGGTAATTGCCAACAAATTTGAAACTACTGTGATTTTGCCATCATCTTGTAGTGGAAAGCAATGCAATTGGTTAAACTTATTTATTTTAATATGATAACATTTTGTCGTGTTTTAATTTAGAAATTCATCTATTTTTCTCTGCATTAGAAAGTTAAAAATCATATACTTTAAAATACAGAACTTTGTGGTTAAAAGCACTATTTGTCTGTTTTCAATGTTGCTTTACACTTGAAATTAACTGTGTTATAGTATTACAATATAACCTAAGCCCATATTTCCTTTGTGTGATGACTTTGCTCTTTCATATTCTGTTACTCTTTTTTGTGGATATATATATATCCACAATATATATATATATTCCATGTATTAGTTTCTACAGATATTTTTCCCACTACTGCTAAGAATACATTATGATTAACAATCTTTTAATAATAAAATGTTTATATTAAAGTATGTCTCAATCAGGCTCTGATCCTATAACAACAATCTGTGTACTTTATTTAAAATTATATTTTTCACAATTTTAGACACTAGAAACTTCAACATTAAGGTATTGGCACCCAGTAAGGGCATTCTAGCTACTTTGTAACAAAGAAACAAAAGGTCACTCCTATGATTGATGCACATACTCCTAAAATAGAGGAATAACTTTATATAATATATATATATATTAATCCAGCATCCATTGTGGAGAACACAGACAAACTACTATGGAAATCTTTAGTTCTGTAGACTAGGACTCCTGTCATTTATAATGCTGCAAGTTAATCTTGATCTGCCATGTGCAGGGTATGGGAAAGGCTCCTCTCTTCCTGAGAGATATACATCATTGATATATAAGGAAGTAAGTGGCTAAGGGAAAGAGGATTATAATGCAATGAAAAGCAGAAAGAAGTTAAAATGGAGGCTAACAAAATGGTATAGGATCATGTACAATGTGGACAGTAGCATCAGAAATAATAATTAAGCAAAGTAATTCCCCTAATGATATTTCATGCCTGCAATATGCTACACAGTAATTTTTCTATGTGGAGAAGAGTTTACTGTGAAGATGGGAGGGCATCCTGGGACAATACTGTATAAGGATTCAGATAAAAGTTCATGTATTTTAATGTTAGGAAATTAAACTTCTGTGGAAGATATTAGATTTTCAATATTAATGCTATTCAATAATGTCTTATTTTTTAATAAAAATAATTTCAAAGATGATGAGATGACTATCTTGTGTGCCTATGCATACAGGCTAATAACAACATCAATTTGAGCTGAATATTTATTTCCCAATCATCTTGGGTAACAAAATCTTATTTATAGTTTCTTGCACTTATTATTTCCAAAATGAAATCAGCATGTGTTTTTGAGAATTATATGAAATCTCAGCCACATAATAAGTTTAAGATGAATAATTATCCTTTTCAATTCTCTACTCACAAATGAAGAATGGGAAAGGCAAGCATACACACACACACACACACACACACACACACACACACACACACATATACATGCATATATATATATATATATGCATATTTGAGGTACAAATGACTATAAATTGGAAAGTAAGCTTTTCCCAGTAGATCACGATAATGATACATATATTGGGAATAATATTGCATATTTGAGGTACAAATGACTATAAATTGGAAAGTTAGCTTTTCCCAGTAGATCACGATAATGATACATATATTGGGAATAATATTTACAGGTCTGGTTTATTTTGAAAGTAACTTAAAATATCATTGCAGGTTATAGGTATTTTTGGTTTTTATTATAGAATGCAATACTGGAATAGCACAGACTAATATATAATTATCTTCTTATTTATTTCAAAAACAGTTTTAGTGGGTTTTATTTACTGGCAAGTATAAGATACATTTAAATTTTAATTATAAAGTTTCTGTGTGATTGCCAATAAATGTGAGTTTAAAATTTAGAAGTTGCATATTTACTTGCCATTTTCCTAGAATGTTTATAAAAATGTTCCTGATATGATGTTGTATATAATAATTACATCAACTAATCATAAGGCTGAACATATTTACATCAATAACACCATCAGTTACATTAAGGCTCATTAAACTAAGTATATACTTATAAAATAATCAAATCAAAATTTCTTTTAAAAATGTGTAGAATTTCACATGCAAAATAATCCTAATATCACAGAATATTAAATTTGCATGAATGGCAAAATAAAAGTAACGTTATGTGATAAAGTAGTTTTAAATGATAAAATCTAACTTATACTTAGTAATATATGCACATGCACACCAATTGAAATTGTGCATATACAGTATCTATATACACATTCATATACCTTTTGGGATTCTATGAATTACAAAGTTGTAAAATTTTTTCTACTGGGATGGCAAAATGGATCATGAATAGATACATTTGCCACCAAGCATAATGACTTTGATCTCCAGAGCCTATTTACAGGGGGAAGGACATTCTCTGACCACCACATGCATGCAGAACATGTGCACACCCACACATGTGTGCACACTCATTCACACATTCACAACTCATACACACAGAGGCACATCCATTAACTTCATAAATTAGAAAATTATTCTTCATCACTTAATGAAGGTAGTGAATTAAATGTGTAAGGTACAATCACTTTCCTAGTTCAGCCTGATTTCTGATTTATTAGTCCCTCACCCCTTCACAATTTTAGAGGTTAACCTTGCATATTACCTTAAGGAGTTATTTATCTGTGGCCTCTGTAGTTTCACATCTTATGGAATCTTGATTTGCAACTTTAGGGAGTGATTATGTAAATTCTTACAGAGCAGCCTGCCAATCGATGGTCAGTTAAACCATGGGAAAATAAGATATGAAGACATTGCTTTTTCTTGTCTTTGCAATATGCCACTGTGTTCCTTTGTTCTGCATAACATCTAACTAGAATATAGATATTTCCACCATTGTAATAACCAGGCCATACTTCTTGGTACAATCAGAAGTAGTTCAGAGTAACCTGAATCTTTGAAGTCTTAAAATAGCACTTGACTTGAACTGGATCAAGGTCACTTTGCTG